CCCGCTGCTGCCTCTTGCCAGGCCAGCGAGATGCCAGGAGAACCTGCCCAGAGCCAGCGTTTGCGGAATTGAGTTGCATTAAACCAGATTGCTTCCCAAAGGCCCTTTGTGAACTCGGGAGGCTAATGAAATGCAGGAGGATATTATTAAAATATGTTCGCACATGTTTGGAGAGTCTCGCTGGTGCTGAGTGGATTGGTGCTCGAGTACTCTTGGTGCCTTATTTCCCCCTCCCGTAAAACTGCCTTAGGGAACTCCCCACACCCCGGTCCACATTGTCAGGTGGAACTTATCCATTATGAGGGCTGAGCATGGCCGGACATTCTGCTCTTCTTTCTTTGTGTTCAGGACTTTTTAAAAAATTCATTTTTATTTCTGTGCCTTCTTGGGCTAATCAGCCCTGACAGTATTTTGGCCGACACCGAAAGGCCGTGAAGTCCGATGCCTGTTTTGCCCGGTGTGCTTCAGTATCTGAATGGGACCCTTGAGGTTATCAGTGCCTGGAACCCTGGCCCACTCCAGCTGGCCCTGAGGTGGCCCATTAGTCATCGTGCTCAGTGTATTTTTTACACACGGCCCTCTACTTCCTGGAAGAAAGCCCAGGGCAGGGAGGGAAGCGGTCTTCAGAGCGCAGGTATAATATAACAGTTTGTTGCGAGTGCTAATCAGCTTTCCCGGAAACAGTCTGATGAGGACTGCTTTAAAGGCCTGGAGTTTCTTTATACAAAAATAAGGAAGGAAGGGGGGGGGAAATTGAAGGAAGAAAAGAAATGGGCAGTGGTCGCTGTGCATTTCTCATGATCTGAGCTGGCGGTTCAAGCAGAACGTTAAAGTGGGATTTGGAGTTGGTCTGCAGGGCAGTGTCCAGGTGGCTCTTCTTTTAGAAAAGAAGAGATCGCCCTTGGTAGGTCCGTTAAGCCCCCTGGGCCTCAGTTTCCTCATCTGAAAAACGAGACCATGATGGTTGAAATAAAAAAACTCTACCGTCTTTCAAGATGAGACCTCTGCTCTCCAAAGTCTGGCTGGAGGCATCAGTGCGGGAAACGGCTTCCTGCCCCTCGAATAGCGCTGGGTCCTTGGTGTGGGTCTTCAGCGGCCCCAAATATCAGACCTGGGTGGACCGTTGGCAAACTCGGGGTTCATACCCTCGATTTATAGACTAGGGGAAGTGGCAATGGAAAGCTTTGTCCCAGGTCCCCAAGCAATGCTAGACTCAGACCCAGGGTTATTTCTCATGGAACGCACACACCATCTTGAAAATGGAACAGGGGCCCCAGAGTAGGTCCACCTTGAACTTGGGGGCTGGAGCAAATCAGCAACATCTCCTTTGCACCTGGAAGAATGGGAACTGGGTCGGCCCTGAGGGAGCCAGATCCGTGGCATGGTCTTCGCTTTGACAAGACACTGCCAAGACTCTCTAGGGGCCCCCATCTTTCCTGAAGGTCGAGGGGTGTGGGCTGCTGTCCGATGGGACTTCGCTGTTCTCAGAACTCACCCCACGGAAAAATTCACCATTCTGGAAAAGAGCCAGGGTTCTTGGAATGGAAAACAACCAGCTCAAGTGACAGCCCACCGGAGATGACAGCCAGGGAGCTCGATGTGGCAACTTTTGAGGAAAGGATTCCTCTTGGCACACACATTTGCATTTTTCTCGGCATT